CAATGCATTTGCTTTGTAGGATTTGCTAGAGCTTCTCATTAAGACGGACAGAACTTGGCAGAAGACCAAAGGGTTCCTTCCAATCTCTTAGAGGCTCCCTCAGAGCACAGATGGATGAGCAAGACTCAGCTGGCCCTGAAGCAGGAAGAGGCCATGCCATCCAAACTAGAAGCAGTGGGGGATTCTGGGAAAACTCTGTGCACAAGATCCTGGGTGAGGAGGACACCCTCCGCTCAGAGGTGCAGAGCCAGCAGTTGAGGCAGTTCTGCTGCCAGGAGGCCAAAGGACCGCGAGAGGTTTGCAGCCGACTCTACCACCTTGACCATCAGTGGCTGAAGCCAGAAAGGCACACGAGAGCTGAGATGATGGACCTGGTGATCTTGGAGCAGTTCCTGGCTGTCCTTCCCCTGGAGATGGAGAGCTGGGTGAGGGACTGCGGAGCGGAGACCAGTTCCCAGGCGGTGGCCCTGGCCGAAGGTTTCCTCCTGAGTCAGGCAGAGGAGAGAAAGCAGGTGAGAGAGACTTTCCTCTGGATACTCCCAAGGGGTTCCAAACAGGACAGAGAACATCCCATATTGGTCTGCTGATGGCCCATCCTTTTTCTGGGAAAGTATCCATGGAATGAGATCTCACACCCTTCAAGTCTTTGTTATTCTCTTTCTAGCATTTCTCCCCATTCTCTGTTTTGAATCCTTGTTTCTTTCTCAGGGAAAGGATCTCTTTGCAGAAATGGACCTGGATTCCTGTGAGGCAGAGAGGCCTCCGTTGGACACCAGAGAGAGGCCACTGGGTAAGGAGGAAGGTGGCTTTTCTCCATTTGGTCTCTTTCTGTTGGTTTTCCAATTCATCTGAGGGTTCTTTTCACCTTGTTTTGGGGAGAGACGGTTGGGAAGAAGGGTCCAGAGGAGGGGAGATGTATTTCTGCACAAACAAACATATGAAATGGGCACAAACGTCCAAATGCTCTCAGCAGGTAAAGCTTTCTCAAAGGCCCATCTGTAGTTAGAGATGCCCTGTTTCACCTGTGAGAGAAGCAGGCACTCCTGGCGTCCTGTTTACCTTTTGTCTCTTGCAGGTGACAGAATGATGCCGGCAAGACCTCCTGATCTGTCTTTTCATGGGGGCAGAAGGGAAACAGCGGCTGTGGAACCAGATCAGGTCAGGGGAAGCTGCCTTGTGGCGACAGAGACCGAGGGATGGAGCAATGTCATGGACTGGTTGGGCACAGAGGAATGGTGGGAGGAAGCAGCTGGGGAACCAGGAAGGGAAGACGGCTGAGAGCCCAAGAAGTGGAGGTAGAAGAAGGATGGGCGGTTAGAGGGGGGAAAGGGAGAAGGCTGGGGAGAGGAGATGTCAGAAGCTGAAAGGCTAACAGGGCTTACTGAGCTGGGAGACTCTGTGGCAGAATGCAGTGCAGAATCAGAGGCAGAAGAGGAAGGAGGCGAGTGGGAGAGGAAGGTTGGGAGGCAGAGGTGAGTCAGGATAAGGATGCCCTCCCTGCTCGTCTCTCAGAGCCAGGAGACCCCCTGCAATGCAGGAATCTCTGCTAGATCATCCAAGACAGATGGCCATTCAAAATAGGCTTATTTTATTTCTAGATTGATCACTGAATGCTAAAATTGTTTTCTAAGCAGTGGACAAATGAGAACAAATAGTGGCCTGGATTCAACTAACCAGCCCCATCGGATGCAAAATGGGGCCTGCCTCCCATTCCTCCCCCTCCCCATTCCTCCATGAATCCCTTGAATTTGGCTCTAGGGCATTGGGAGGGAACTCCCCAGAACAGCCCAGGAGGAGAGGAGAAAGTGGATCCTTCCATTGGGGAAACTGGAATGCTTGCCTAGGCAGAATGACTTGAAAAACAGAATGTGGAGTACCACCTATTGCACAAAGACAAATACCCATTATTAAAACTTAAAATTAGCATCCATATTTAAAATGTGCAGCAAAGCAATCCTATTGAAACAACACCACAATGTACAGGAAGGAAACAACAGAGCATTATGTAGCAGATCATATTTCTGCTGTCTCAGAGGAGGACATTTCCCTTTTTCTTTTAGCGTCCAGTGTGCTTTGAAGATGTCGCTGTTTGTTTCACGGACAAGGAGTGGGCGTTGCTGGATCCTGACCAGAGAGCTCTGCATAAGGACGTCATGGAGGAGAATCGTGGGATCGTGGCCTCTCTTGGTAAGGCTCCCTGTGGGATCGTCATATCTGCCTGGAAATTCAAAACATACCTTATGTGACCAACGTCATATATTTTCACAGAGCTCAACAGCACCCCCTACAACACCTGGGAACACCCCCACAATAAGGAGTAACTTACAGTTTTTTCTTTGAACAATCTTCCTCAAATTATTCCTTTTTCTACCATGATTGGGCTGCTTTCAACTGCCCAGGCCATCTTAAATGTCAGCTTCAGAATTGTTAGGAAAGATAAGTAGCTTCAGGTTTCCTGTTTTTGTTTTTGCTCCTGTCAGTCTTGGGTTGACCAAAGAAACGACTGACATTGGAGATGGAGGGGATGCCATGACTGGGCCAAACAAAATTCATCCCAGAGAAGAAGAGCTAGGCTTATTGAATTTCAGGTAGAAGTAGCAGTAGTGATGATGATGATGATGATGATACAGTGGTAACTCGGTTTACAAACTTTCCGGAACAGGACTATTCTTAAATCAAGGTACCACTGTAGTAATAATAATAATTTATATTTATACCCTGCCCATCTGGCTGGGTTGCCCCAGCCACTTTGGGCAGCTTCCAACACACATATAAACATGAAACATAAATAATAATAATCTGATTCCAAATAAAAGAACATTAACTTTAAAATGAACAACTTCTCCTAGTGGCCGAAATTGTGGAAACCTTCTGTGAAAAGTGTATTTCTGAGGTTTGATGGCTCCTAACACCACTTTTGTGTGGAGTAATACCATAAAATTATATAGCAATGGAAAGATAATTTAATGTTGAATGTAATGCGATGACTTTTATGAAGGAGTATTTATTAGAACAGCAGTCATAAAGAAAAAACGTGAAACCTTTGGTAACCATTGGTAACCTTTAGCTTTAATTACGGCCTTACAACGCCTTCCCATGAAGTGAACCAAGTCTTTAGTTCTGCAGCTGTAAGAATGTGAAACCAAGAATGAATTATTGTCTCTGTTAATTGGGCTTTATTGCTGGGTTGCTTCTGAATAACAAGTTTCTTTAGTGTGGGCTATTCCCAGGCCATTCCAGCAGTGAAATATCATTATCTTGAAAGCACCTTTTGCACACAGCAACAACACGACATAGAGCTGAATCCTGTTGAAAATATATAAATGCTTCGGTATCTGGGAAAAGATCACTTGCGGAACACTTCAGTTTGGGCTCACGTATTTCGTTTATGCATTTTTCCGCATTTATATTCCCATTAATGACGCAAATTCTGCCCACACCTTTTGCTGCCATACAACCCCAGATCATCACACTGTCTGGGTGTTTCACGGTCAGTGTAATGCAAGTAGGATGTAAATGTTATCTGATTCTTCTCCTCGGGTATTTCATGCCATCACTACCAAGCAAGGAGATTTGGGTCTCATCGCTCCAAATAACACCGCCCCATTGTTCCACTGTCCAGTTAACATGGGTTTCATCTTTTCAACCTTTGAAGGAGAGATAACAATGGCTTTTTCTTAGAATTCTAACATTTAGACCAGTCCTTGCACTCAACTTCCCATTACATTGCACCATGTCATCTTGTATACACCCAGATGATTTTCTTCTGTCATGTAGGCACAGTCTCTCCACTCGTCCATCGTCACTTTTGTAGTGACTGAGTCTCCTTATAAAAAGGTAAAGGTACCCCTGCCCATACGGGCCAGTCTTGACAGACTCTAGGGTTGTGCGCCCATCTCACTCAAGAGGCCGGGGGCCAGCGCTGTCCGGAGACACTTCCGGGTCACGTGGCCAGCGTGACATCGCTGCTCTGGCGAGCCAGAGCTGCACACGGAAACGCCGTTTACCTTCCCGCTAGTAATCGGTCCCTATTTATCTACTTGCACCCGGGAGTGCTTTCGAACTGCTAGGTTGGCAAGCACTGGGACCGAACAACGGGAGCGCACCCCGCCGCGGGGATTCGAACCGTCGACCTTTTGATCGGCAAGCCCTAGGCGCTGAGGCTTTTACCCACAGCGCCACCCGCGTCCCTGAGTCTCCTTATACCTCTTCAAAAATATAGAAAGGCCAACTTTGGTTAAGTTTTCCCCAATCGCTCTTCTAATTTCTTCATAACTGTAGCCTTGCTCACTTAATAGTACAATCTTACATCACTTTCTGGGGACCACTCAACTCCTTGTGCCATTTCTATATTTTATTATGTCTTACACCCTCACTAAATGAAAGAACACAATAAACCAACCAACTTGATAGCAATCACATAACACACTGACAAAAGTCAACCAAAGCAAGTTGTGCTTCCTTTTTCAGGTTATTTGGCTATAACGTTTGATAGAATACGGGTAATTGAACAAACTTTCTTGGATTGCATTCTTGATTGCATTTTTGATCGAATTATCTTTCCATTGATATATAATTTTATGACATTACTCCAAATGAAGCGGTGTTATAAGCCATCAAAACTCTGAAATACACTTTTTTCCAAAAGTCTTTCACAATTTTGACCACTGCTTTATATAAACAAAGCAACATTCAACAACTCATCCGAATCTCATATTAAACAAACAACACAGGTAATGAACACACACGCAACTCCCTTCAGTTCTTCTCCATTTGCTCCTGAGGCTCAAATCCCTTTTTGTCCCCAATGCAGATTGTGATGAATTGGAAATCGAGAACAAAGGTGACCACGAAAAAATCCCCAGAGAGGAGAAGCCACAAAAAAATTTGGAGTGTGGAGAAAGCTGCAGTCAGAGCTCCAATTCCACCTCCCATCAACAAAATCTCATTGAAAAGAAACTCTATCAGTGCATGGGATGTGGAAAGAGCTTCACTCATAGCTCCTCTCTCACTTCCCATCAAAGAATTCATACAGGAGAGAAACCCTATAAGTGTGTGGAATGTGGAAAGAGCTTCAGAAAGAGCTCCGATCTCATTTCTCATCAAAGAATTCATATAGGGGAGAAACCCTATCAGTGTGTGGAATGTGGAAAGAGCTTCACTGATAGCTCCACTCTCACTAACCATCAAAGAATTCATACAGGGGAGAAACCCTATCAGTGTGTGGAATGTGGAAAGCGCTTCAGTCGGAGCTCCAATCTCACTTCCCATCAAAGAATTCATACAGGGGAGAAACCCTATCAGTGTGTGGAATGTGGAAAGAGCTTCACTCATAGCTCCCATCTCACTTCCCACCAAAGAATTCATACAGGGGAGAAACCCTATCCGTGCGTAGAATGTGGAAAGAGCTTCAGTCAGAGCTCCTCTCTCACTTCTCATCAAAGAATTCATAAAGGAGAGAAACCCTATCAGTGTGTGGAATGTGGAAAGGGCTTCAGTCGGATCTCCACTCTCACTTCCCATCGAAGAATTCATACAGGGGAGAAACCCTATCCGTGCATAGAATGTGGAAAGAGCTTCACTGATAGCTCCTCTCTCACTTCCCATCAAAGAATTCATACAGGGGAGAAACCCTATCAGTGTGTGGAATGTGGAAGAAGCTTCATTAGAAACTCCGATCTTACTTCCCATCAAAGAATTCATACAGGGGAGAAACCCTATCAGTGTGTGGAATGTGGAAAGAGCTTCACTCACAGCCACCGTCTCACTTCCCATCAAAGAATTCATACAGGGGAGAAACCCTATCAGTGTGTGGAATGTGGAAAGAGCTTCACATGTAGCTCCTCTCTCACTTCCCATCAAAGAACTCATACAGAGGAGAAACCCTATCAGTGCTTTGAATGTGGAAAGAGCTTCACTGATAGCTCCCATCTCACTTCCCATCAAAGAATTCATACAGGGGAGAAACCCTATCAGTGTGTGGAATGTGGAAAGAGCTTCAGTCAAAGCTCCCATCTCACTTCCCATCAAAGAATTCATACAGGGGAGAAACCCTATCAGTGTGTGGAATGTGGAAAGAGCTTCAGTCAAAGCTCCCATCTCACTTCCCATCAAAGAATTCATACAGGGGATAAACCTTATTGGTGTGCGGAATGTGGAAAGAGCTTCACTGTTAGCTCTAAACTCACTTCCCACCAAAGAATCCATACAAAGGTGGGAAAAACCATTATACAGCTTTAGGGGCCAGGCAAATCCACACCTTTTTAACCAGGCCTTTTTCTTATTGACATCTAATGCTATTTTAACACGTGATGTTTTGTGTTTTTATGTTATGTTCTAAGTATTCTGAGACTTGTGGGTGTAGGGAATAAAGCCACTCTTAAATTACTAGGGGTCTTTGGCCCCCCATAAAATATATGTGTTTGCTTGGTACATTTACCGTATTTTTCGCCCCAAAGGACGCACCTAGGTTTTTTTTGGGGTGGGGTATTTTTTTTCCCCCCAGGCACGGGGCTGGCGCGGGGGAAGCTCGAGCTTCCCCTGACCCCAGCCCCCAGAAGATCCTGCTAACCGCAAGCCTAGGGAGCCGCACTGGTCTCCCCAGGCTTGCGGACAGCTGTGCGAAGCCCGGGCGCGCTGAGGCTTCCTAATGCAGGCAGCTCTGCGCGACTCTCCAGAGGCCGGCACGGCTTGGCGCCGGGCTCCGAAGGGTCGTGCAGAGCTGCGCAGACCCTGGGAGGGCAGGCAGCTCTGCGCGACCCTCCGGAGGCCGGCGCGGCTTGGCGCCGGGCTCCGGAGGGATGCGCAGAGCTGCACAGAGCCCGGGAGGGCAGACAGTTCTGTGCGACCCTTTGGAGGCGCCGGGCTCTGGAGGTTTGCGCAGAGCTTCCTGAAGCCTGGAGCGCGAGAGCCTCTCGCTCTCCAGGCTTCAGCGAAACCCTGTATTCGCCCCATAGGACGCACCCACATTTCCCCTTCATTTTTGGAGGGGGAAAGTGCGTCCTATAGGGCAAAAAATACGGTATATGCCTTCGTGTAAATTTTAAGAGACTTGCATGTCAGGCCTCTTAAGGCTATTTGCAAGTGTAGCTGGACATAGGATATCACATAAAAAAATAACACATGTTGCATTTTGTTCTAAATTACTTGTGGCATTGTAGCACTTTGGGAGAAACATTCTCAATAGTGGTCTATGCTTTACACTTAGCGAGAAGGTCAAATAATGAGTGAAAAATGCAGTTTGTTTTGTTTCTGCCTTTTTTGTGTGTTCCCAGGTGTCAAACGAGCTCTCGTCTGGTCTCACACCTCCATCATATCACAGCAGCAACAATCCCTGGTGAATCCCCATAGGGCTTTCATATTGACCATGTCACCTTGTAGTGGCACAGGTTTGGACATTTCTTGAGAGAGATGTCTTTGCCTTGGCCTTTCTATGGGGTTTTTTTTTATTAGAGGCTCTGGTTTTGCACGCTAGGGAAGTTGCTCAGTTGTTCCTAAGGGACCAAAAAGCTAACTGCAGCCTGGATACACTTGCCCAATTCCAACGGAGTCCAATTAGAATTTATATAGCCCCATGGCTCGCCGATGTGGATTTCTGGTCGCACTTGGTGGCAGCGGTCGGCCTGGGCCTTGTACGCATCCTTGGCCTGGTGCAGTTGCTCCATCAATATAGTTGGTGCTGAGACTGGAGCTCCTGGAGCCAATCTGGCAGCAGATGCTGGCAGCACATCCCGGAACAAACGCGGATGGTAACCGTAAGTGGCCTGGAACAGGGTCTGCTCGGTGGAGGCGTTCACCGCGTTGTTGTAAGCGAACTCCTCCAATGCCAAGTGGTCGACCCAGTTTGGAGGTACTCCAGGTTCTGGTGGTCGATTCTCACTTCCACCAGGTGTCTTGCCCCCTCAAGATGATGGCCCCAGACCTCAAAGGCCACCTTGATGGCCAGTAGTTCCCGCTCCCACACGGTATAGTTACATTCTGCCAGAAGAAGCTGGCAGGGGGGACTTCCGGGTTGACGCGATCTGGAAATGGCGGATTCCCTCCGAGCTCCGGAGGGAACCGGCTCCACTGAGGATGGGTCTTTGCCGCGCCGGCGACGCGGGGACCCTTAAAAACCGCAGGCGCGGAAGCCTGCGGACTGAAGACTCGGCGGGTGCCTTAAGCGCCCCCCCTGATTCGCAAAGAGCCTTTTTAAAGGCTGCGGAGGGGATACGGGGGTGGCGTGGCACTGAGAGTCGATCGCTACCTCGGTGGAGTGAAGCCGCGAGCCATGACCAGAGAGCGCTGACTTCCTTCCTTGAAAATTTGGACTGAAAGAATTACCCGTGAGTAAGACGGATTGGGACTTTATAAAAATTTTACCTTGAATTGGAGACGATCGGGGGGTGTGCTAAAAGGAAGTCCGCACCCCCCCCCCTTGCAGACGACCTAAGCAACGGCATAAGAGCTAAGCTGGAGAGCCTACCCCTGGTGGGGTGAGTTAAAAAGGACATTAACTTCCAAGATTTAACTAAAGGAAATTTTGGGCTGGAGAGTGGAGTTTTGGGAACCTTCTTTTTGCTTTAAACAACCCCCCCTCCCGGGCTCGGGAACGTCCTGCCTTGGTGCCTGTGTAAGAGCTGCGGAGTTTGACAGCTGTCAAAGCTGCCAAACGGCCGGTTTAAAGTGGAAAAATTGTCATCTCTTGACTAAGAAGAGCTATAATTGAGCTAAAACTGTTGGAAACAAAGTAATAATAATCAGTTAAAGGATTGTTGGTGAAAAGGCTAATAAGTAACCAGATTCCCCCTAGGAGGAATTCTGTGAAACTACAATGGATACAATGGCTGTGGAAGGAAAGTTACTAGTGGAAATCGAAAGGATGTTTCAATTGGTGGGAATCTTACAAGAGCAGAGCTTGGCCATGAATAAACAACTTGAGACTATGACCTTGGGAACAGGCAACTCTGCTCTTTGTATTGAGGACCTCAACGAGAAAGAATTCACAGCTGAATGGGAAACAATACCTATAGAGTTGGAAGAGACTAAACAACAAGAAAAAGAAGAAGTAATCCTGGGAAGCAACAACCAAAAGCTGACATCTGCGGAACATAAGCAAGGAAACGCTGGGAACATATCTACTACAAGTCTGCGAAAGATACAGAAGAAGAAGGAGGAGGTCCCGGGACAAAATGGAATACAGAAATTTAAAATAAAGAAATATGATTGGGGCCTCCGTTTGGACTTTGATCTTGAAGAGATAGGTTTTGTGGAAATTCTTCAGCAGTTACTTTTGAATCCCCTTGTGGGAAGAGGAAACACTTTGATGGTGAAAGAACTTTTCCCAGACTTGACGACTGACATAAAGGACTACCAACGGGACAGGCGGAGAGGGACTGAAAGGGATTTGAAAGCCTCGGACGTGAGGAACCCAGGCTGAGAAACTCGAATTTGGATCTTTATTGGGAAGGGACAAAAACCGGGGACGGGAGGGAGGGAAGAAGAGACTTTTAAAAACTCTTAAGACTTTTAGGTTTGGTTAATATGACTCTTAATTAAGATAAAATGAAAATCGATGGAAGAGAACTTAAGTCCAACTTAGGAAAATTAATTTTTATTATAAAATAAGGTAATAAGATGAATAAGATTGTTAAGAGGAGAAACACCAACTTGCTGATATAATCTTGAAACTGGGATGCACGAGGGGAGGTGGGGGAAGTCAGGGAACAAGTTCATGAAACGGGGATTGGTTGATTTTATACATGTTTTTGTCTTTCTTTTTTCTTTGTGTGTCTTTTGTCTTTATAAAACCAGAAAACCAAATAAAAATTTTATTAAAAAAAAAAAAGAAGAAGCTGGCAGGAATAGTAGGTGCAGAGTAACAGCAGCACATCAGGTCCGTGCTGCTGGGACAAGACGGCACCGAGAGCCGGACTGGAGGCGTCTGTCTCCACCACGAAGGGACTAGAGGGATTAGGATGCTGTAAAAGCGGTGCCCTCTGGAGACAGGCTTTCAACCCCTGAAACGCCACCTCTGCCTCCTTGTCCCAGGAGAATGATGTCTTGGGGCACAGCAGTCGGGTCAGCGGGGTGGCGCGGTGAGCATAGTTCACAATGAAGGTCCAGTAATAGTTGGCGAACCCCAGGAACCGCTGTAGGCCCTTGCGCTTCTGGGGTGCCGCCCACTCCTGAACTGCTGCCACCTTCCCGGTATCCATCTGCACCCCATCAGGGGGAGAGTTGGTGACCGAGGAAGTCCAGCGACCGCTGGTGGAACTTTCACTTGCTGAGCTTAGCATACAGGCGTTGCTCCCGCAAGCGCTGCAACATGGACCAGACATGACCCTCATGGCAAGTTGGGTCGTGGGAGTAAATCAAAATGTCATCTAAGTACACCACCACGTACTTGTCTAGCAAGACCTGGAACACGTGGTTGATGTACCGTTGGAACACGGCAGGCGCATTGCACAACCCGAAAGGCATTACCAGGTATTCGAACTGCCCATACCGTGTCCCAAATGCTGTCTTCCACTCATCCCCTGCTCAGATCCTAATCAAATTGTAGGCTTCCCGAAGGTGCAGATTGGTGAGCATCTGCGCCCCTTGCACCCGCTCCAGCAACTCTGCAATAAGGGGCAAGGGATACCGGTCTGGGATGGTAATCTTATCCAGGGCAGGGACGAAGCTCCCCACACTTCTTAATGAAGAGTACTGGAGCGGTGGTGGGCGAGGTAGAGGGCCAAATGAACCCGCACTCCAGGTTCTTGCAACAGAAGTCCTACAAGGCTTAGCGCTCTGGCTCCGTAAGACAGTACAGGCGGCTCACAGGCAGGGTCTCTCTGGGCTGGAGGTCTATGCCGCAGTCGAAAGACCAATGAGGCGGCAGCTGATCTGCCCCCTGTTCCTCAAACACTTCTTGGTAGTCCTGGTAAACAGCGGGGAGCGTTGACGCAGCTTCCCCCTTGGGGGCGGCCACTAGCATCTCTCTTTTTTTTAAAATACCGTATTTTTCGCACTATAGGACGCACTTTTTCCCCTCCAAAAATGAAGGGGAAATGTGTGTGCGTCCTATGGTGTGAATGCAGGCTTTTGCTGAAGCCTGGAGAGCGAGAGGGGTCCGTGCGCACCGACCCCTCTCGCTCTCCAGGCTTCAGGAAGCTATCCCAAGTCTTGCAAGCCCGGCGGGATGTCCC